AATGCTATAAATTTTTGAGTGTTGGTTTTGTATCCTGCCACTTTATTGTATTTGTTTATCACTTGCAGGCGTTTTTTTTTTTTTTTCACTTCTGGAATATTTATTGTTGTTGTTATTGTTGTTTTTCCAATTCCCTGAGTTTTGTCATTACATTGTTTATTTGCCACCTTTATGGTTTTTGTTTTTTTTTCTTATGGGCACTAATTGCTATGAACGTCCTACTTATGACTGTTTTTGGTATGTCCTACAGGTTATAAACACTTGTTTGTTCTTTATCATTGATTTCTATGGACCTTTTGATTTCAGACTTAATTTCCTCAGTATTTTAAAATCATTCAGGAGTAGATTGTTCAGTTTCCATCAGTTTGTATATTTTTGAGGACTCTTTCTGTAGTTGTTTTCAAATTTGATTCCATCATGTTCAGAAAGGATACTGGATATAGTTTCTATACACTTGAATTTGTAAAGGCTTTTATGTCCAATTATGTGGTGAATCTTTGAAAATATTCCATGCGAGGGTGAGATAAATCTGTATTTTGTGGTTATTAGATGAAATATTCTATAAATATCTGTCAAGTCCGTTTAATTTATGGTATCATTTACATCTTGTATCTCTTTGTATTTTTTGTCTAGATGATGTGTCCAGAGGACACAGTGGGGTGTTGAAATCCCCAACAACTATTGTGTTGCAGTCTATCTCTCCCATGAGATCTAACTATCTCACATATTTGGGTGCTCCAGTATTGGGTGCATAGATATTTTAAAGTGCTGTATCTTCTTGGTGAACAAGTCATTTTAGTACTATAGAATGTCCTTCTTTGTCTTGTCTTACATCTTTTGTCTTAAAGTCTGTTTTGTCTCATAACAGTTTCACAACTCCAGCCTATGTTTGGTTTCTATTTGCATGGATTATCTTTTTCCAATCCTTCACTTTTAGTCTATGTATATCTGTATCAGTGAGGTGTGCTTCTTGTAAGAAGAACACCATATAGATGGCTTCTGTTTCTTAACCCCATTCAGTCAGTCTGTCTTTTAATGGGAGAATTTAATATATTAACATTAAATGTTATTATCAATATTTGTGGACTTATCCCTATCATCGTGTTAGCCATTTTCTTGGTCAGTTTTTGTTCTCTTATTTCTGTTTTGTCTCTCTTTAGTTTTCCTGAAACAATACTCCCTTTAGTACTTCTTGTAGAGTTGTTTTAGCATTGGTCAATTCTTTCAGTTTTTGTTTATCTGAGAATACTTTTATTTATTCTTCCAATGAGAAGGATAATCTTGCTGGATATATTATCTCTGATTGAAATTGTTTTTCTTTTAATGTTTTGAATATGTCTTCCCATTCTTTCCTTACCTGTACTGTTTCAGTTGAGAGGTCTGATGTTAGCCTAATGGGATCATCTTTATAAGTAACCTGACATTACTCTCTTGTCATTTTTAAAATATTGTCCTTGTTTTTGATTTTTACCAATCTGGCTATGATCTGCCAGGGGGAGGATCATTTTAAGTTGATCCTATTTGAAGTCCTTTTTATTTCTTGTGTCCAAATTTCTCTATATTTCTCTCTATCTGGAAATATTTCTGATAGAATTCATGAAAGAGGTTTTCCATGCCTTTAGCAGGTTCCTCACCTTCTGAAATACCCATTTTATGTATATTTTGGGCATTTCAATGGTGTATAGAACTCCCCATATGTTATTCTCTTTTTTGTTTGTTTATTTGTTTGTTTGTTTGTTTTTTCATTGTTTTTGGTGGGTTGGTCTATGCTGAGACTGTCTTCAAGGTCAGAAATTTTTTCGTCTGCATAGTCCAATCTACTGTTAATGCTTTCTGAGGAGATTTTAATTTATCTTCTTTACTCCCAGAAGTTCTGTTTAATTCTTTTTTTAGGATATCTATCTCTTTATGGAAGTCCTCTTTCAAGTCCTGAAATTATTTTTTTATTTCCTGGCATTGATTGTCTGTTTTCCCTTGCATCTCATTGAGTATTGTAACATAAATGATTGAGATTCTTTTTCTGACATCTCTGTGAATTTCTTTGTGCTGTCCATTGTTGGTAAGGGGCTACTGTGTTCTCCTTGGGAGAGTTAACCCCTTGCTTTCTCATGTTTCTTTGATACTTGCTTTGGTTTTTGATTATCTGATGCAATATTCATTTTTTCCTCTTTCTTGGAATAGTTTCTTTAGTATTGGAAGAGGGAATTTTACCCTTAGTTCCCAGGTGTCTTCCTATTAGAGAGCTGTGTCTCCTAGATCAGAGCAGATAAAGCTTATACAGGTAACTTCAGGTAGTTGACTCCTCTACAAAACTTCCAGGTCTTAATAAGGTGAGAATCAACTAAGGAGATATAACTTAGTGAACACAATCAAGTTGTGCACTGTGCAGTTTACCATGCAGGTTGGAGTACCACACGTTTCAAGGATAACCGCCGGAAGTGGGGTTTCGCTCATGAGTAGAGGCCTGCCAAGACTGGGACCAAGTCTCCTGGTGGGTAGGTTGAGCCCAGGCTGCAGCAAGTGCTAGGTGGGGGAAGTGGTTCCAAGATAACCAAGAAGTGGTAATGCACTCATGAGAAGAGGACTGCCAAGACCCCTAAAGCACAGTAAATAATCCCCAAAATAGACAAACAGTATTACATCAAGATAAGAATTCTCTGTACAACAAAAGAAGCAATATTTAGAATAAAGAGACAGTACTCAGAATGGGAGAAAATGCTATTCTTCAGATAAGGGATTAATAACTAGAATGTATAGGGAATTCACACAGCTCACCCACAAAAGAAAGTGAATAATCCAATTCAAAAATGGGCAAATGAGTTGAACATATAACTCTTTAAGGAGGCAAATGAATGGCCAAAACACATATGTAAAATGTTCAACATCTCTTATTTTAAGGGAAATGCAAATCAAAACCAAAATGAAATACCATTTAATACCAGTAAGAATGGCTATGATTTAAAAAATGAAGAACAAGTGCTGGCAAGACCGTGGTGAAAAGGGAACCTTCCTTAACCACTGGTGGGAGTGTAAATTGATACAGCTACTATGGAAAGCAATATGGAAGTTCCTCAAAATCTACAAATAGAGCTGCCATATGACCCAGTAATCCCACTCCTTGATATTTACCCAAAGGATAGGGAACTAGTTAGTTGGAAAGACACTTGCACATCCATGTTTATTACAGCATTATTCATAATTGCTAAGACATGAAATCAACCCAAGTGCTCAAGGACTGATGACTGGTTTGAAACAATGTGACACATGTACACTGTGAGATATTACTCAGCTATGAGGGACAATGAGATTCTGTCATTTGATACAAAGTAGATGAATATAGAAGATGTAATGCTAAGCAAAATAAACCAAACTATGAAAGACTAACACTGTATATCCTCACTCAATATATATTCAATGTTTGCATTCTATGGCAGACATTGAAATATTTGAAGATATAATAATAGGGAGGACAAATGTAGATACCAGAAACTTAATGGGGGAGGGGAATAGTAAAGGGTGGGTGAGAGGAGCTTGGAGAAGGAAAAATTAGGAGACATAAGAATGTAAAATTCTCCACTAAAATGATGTATGGCAATATCCTTGATTTGATTGTCACACTTGCATATATACTTTGAAAAACTGTATTGTGTGCTATAGAGATATACAACAATTAAATATGAATAAGAAGTTATAAAATTAAAAATATGGCAGCTTCATATGGTTGAACCTAAGTTTTGAAATTCAACCCTACTGATAAATACGGGCAAATTACTCATATATTCACTTATAAATTTTATATTTAATAGAGTAATATATCCTGCAAGACACTAATCCTGCACTTTAAGGCTATTGGGTATTCTGTTTCATGTAAACAGTAAATCAAAGGATTTTTAAGAAAGTCTACGTAAACCATTAGGGCATTCTTGGGTTCAACCAATTTTTTTTTCCAATTTATCAATGATGCAGAAGACATGTGGGCTCTGAACTCTGAAATTATTTTTTGAAATGACACTAGAATGAAAATGCAGATTCATTTTTAAGCTCCAAGCTCACAAGTCTATTTTGAAGACTAATTTTAATAATTATATGATGAATACTTTGCTAACTCTACAACTACTTTATGAGCAAAGTACTATTATCCTTATTTACAGATGATAAAATTAGAACTTAAATAAATTAGCCAAGGTTACACAGCTAATAAGTGGCAGGATAGGGATTAAAATCACTTATAAGCCTACTGCTATGTCCATTATTTACTTCAAATACAACCTTTTACCCCAGTGAAGTATTGGTACTGAAAGATTATGTTTCTTTTCAGCAAGCATATATTTATGCTATGGTTATCATTAGGGAAACCAAACCCATACACAAATGAAACACATTGTATTATTAAAATAGATCATTATAAGACAGTAGAGAACCAAGGATCAAAAGTAGTCTTATAGACCACAATTGCTATAAGAGTCTGGGAAAGAGAGGGAATAATTGTGTGCTTTGTTTTGACTAACTCCCAGAAGACCATTGATGTAAATGGTATCTGAGAACTGGATGCACAGCATTCTGGGAGCATGACAAAAGTACAACATAAATAGGAATGTGACAAAACCATGGTTATACATAATGAAGTCCAAGGGAGAGTAGCAAACTCAAGGCTAATTTTGAATAAGCGTAATTGCTGTATGAAGGAAGTTAGAAATTTGTGGCTGGGCTATCTGAACCCCAGAAATATATGAAGAAATAGTACCTGACAGATTACTCATCAGATATTTAGGGCAGAAAAGCAAGGACTCAAAGAGAAACCAAAAATGTCATGCTCACATGATTGGAATAATAGTCGTATCAAAATGTAAAGGATTTGTACAGTGGAAGGGAAGATAGGCTCAGGTTTTAGATATATTGAATTTAAGGTAAAAGTAGACGGTTTATAGAAAGCTAAATTTTTATGTTGGCTATGACTGACTGGGATCAACATTTAACTCATCTACATGTTATTTTTACAGATGGCCCTACTGAATTTCTTCTTTCCTGATGAAAAGTCCTACTCTGTAGAGGAAAGTAAGCATGTTCGCCGCAATAAAAGAAGCAAAAGCAGTGAAGGAGCAGATGGTAAGTCTATTCAGATGATCCTTTATGACTTCTGAGTTATCTGTTAATAAGAATACCCTTCTAAGGACTACCTTCTTAAATATGCTTCTTCAGACTGAAGGTCACAGATTTCTCCAGCCTAATCTACCAATCAATCCTTTGACACAGAATTAATTAGATAAGGTTTCTCCCTCTTCTAACTTCATTCCTTTCCCAGTATGTCTTAGTATATCTGAGAGCCATGGTAGCCTTGGTACTCTCAGGATGACCTTATGTAAAGATCTCATCTTCCAGAGAAATCCTATATCTACTAAGGCCACCAAGAAGATTTGGTCCTATTGTTGGAATTGACAGTATTATATCATGCTGGCATTTGCATTATGTGTTCATTTCAGAGATAATCTTACTATGTTAGTATCTGCTACTATGTCCAATTGTGACTAGTGCTTCTAGAACTAATATATAAGTTCCTTGAGGTCAGGGATTTATTTCTCTTTGTAAAACTCCAGAATTTAGCATAGTATCTGGCACATTGTTGATGTTTGTTATGTAAGCTGATGATGTTGATTGCCCCGTCAGGTAGGCAGTGATGTGCCAATGAAAACCACCCCTGTTTGGGGTGTAAGAGCTTTGAGTTAACTAGAATTTTGTGAAACATGACAAAATGTTGAGCTAGCTCTTGGGAAGGGTCTTTGAATTGCTTTGATATCTCAACATCACTCTGTAAATTGACAAAATGCTACCCCTTTGGCATAGGAGTTTGTAGAGTGCATAGCTCTGGGCTGCTTCAAAACCATCTGGACTCAAAGATAGCATGTGCCTGGCTACAACTGCCAATAATGTGTCCAGAGGTTTATAAAGCAATATGACATTATAAAGATGAAAATGAGATTTTAAAACTGACCGAGGGCCAATAATGGAAACAGTTCCTAGCAGTGGGAACTATTGAAGAGATGGGGCCAGGACTTTGTCAGGGGAGGCAAAATGAAGTTGAACTGGATGAAATCTGCAAAAGAGCTCCAAACAAAGACCCTGTAATTAAAAGAGAATCAGAGCAATAAGCTAGGTAAAGATTTCTAGATGGTACAGGTGGTATCAGAATTGAGCCTTTGAATGGAGAACTGGACCAGTAAGACCATTCTCTAGGGCAAACATTTTTCATACAATTGATGACCAATTCAAGTCTAGAAAATATATTTGATGAAGTAAATGGCACCTGTTATTCACCTACTACTTGAAGTCAGTTTTTTGGAAATCTGACTAGTAGGAGCTAAAAACTGACAGTATTATCCCTTTCCTACCCCAATTAAGTCACCCTCTGAGATGCATGTAAGTCTCTCCACCTTTGTCTCTTCTCCTAGGGCCACTCCTAGTACCACCACACTGTTTATAATAATCCTTGGTTATTAAGGAAAAGAGAGACGTAGTAAGAGCAACATTGCCTTCAGTAGTGAGCATTGCCTTCCCTTCCTCTCCAAGTAGAAAGTCTAATGGCTTCTACAGTTTACTTCTTTATCTAGCCTCCCAAGTTTTCACTTTAAAAAGACAATTTCCCCCCACCTATATACCTCTTCATCTGGATCTGACTACCAACATCTCTGACACTGATCTTCCCTAGAATGTTTATTCTGTCCTAATATAAAACAGCTTTTCCCTCTGGTCAAGACCAAAGTCTCACTTACTAATTTTTATGATTTCTTATCTCTAATTTAAAAAAAAAAAGGTGAGTCAGTCTGTAAACTATTCCTTTCTGAATTTGATACTCTAGTCAGTCACTAGACTGTAGTCATTTTGGGCCCACACTAAGTTTTTCGTGAAATTCAGAGTTTTTTTCTTTAATCAGTATCATTTGCTGGAATCCAGAGCCTCTTAGAATTAAGAGGATAGAGTGCCTGAAGGTCCTGAAATTTTATCTGTTTTTCAACCTCTCACCTGGGAGGTTATAGAACCATTTCTTCAGATGTGGCTGGAGTACCTATGAATTCAAAGATGATGAGCCAACTAAATCTTTCTTTCTTTTGAACCATTCTTGCTTCTTTGCTGAGTGTATACTATATTTATTCAATACATTCATCAAATATTTACCAAGCAAATACAGTAGTTTATCATTTATATAATAATAGAATATAAACACCATGAAAACATTTGTATTTGTTTTGTTTACTTTTATCTCTCTATTTCCTAGAAAAGGAGCTGGCGCATAGTAGAGCCTCAAAAAATTTATCTGGTTACTTTCAAAGAGCTTAACTTCCAGTGCAAAGAGACAGATAAACAAAATTGGTGATAACTATTGGGTAGAAAAATATAACAGAGCAAGAGCAAGACGGAGCATATGTGCACAAGAGAGATGGGGCATACTGTAAGGTAATCAAGGAAGATAAGGCAACATTTGAAAAGAGAACTGAACAAAATGAAGATGCAAGCAAGGACTGTGTAGGGATCCAGGGGAAGAAAAAACAAAATGCAATGGCTCTGAAGCAGAATAAAGTTTGTACGTTCTGTAAAGATCAGACCAAACAAGAGGGAAAGGGAAGGAGATGAGGTCAGTGAGCAAAATTCATTCTATAGGGGTCTTAGTTCCCATCAATCCTCAGTTTCAAAGGCCAGCATGGACTTTAGAAGTCCTGAGCTCCCTTCAGAGCTCAGTGCAATCTGTCTCTAGTGACCAGTTCCACACTTGGGGACAAGGTCCCAGTAGGAAACATGAGGATGCAGGTCATGGGTTTTGTTTAATGCTCAGGCTGCCCACTTTAGAAACAGAATTTCTTTTGAGGCAGAGGCTCTGATCTGAGCTGTGTACAGATCCTGCCCTTGAAGAACTATTCCCAGCCTTCAGGATTTCCATGTGTGTCATTTAAGTGAAAGTTAAATCAAAGGTTAAGATGTCTTGTCAATTTGTTATAATATTTTTTGAGTTATTTGAGAACTTTTTAAAAAACATATCTGTTCCAAATTGTAAGAGCTCCTATACTGAGAAGTGAAACTAAATTCCAGTAGATCCTGCAAGGAGCACCTGAGTACTGCCAAGAGGGCGGAGCCCAGTTAACAGGTTTCACAAGGCATTTGCCTTATGACTATACAAAAACCCTAGCTGGAGAATGTAGTCTTAATCTAAATTTTTATTTTTCTAGCTAGACCTTTTGATCATTTAACTAAGCAGAGAGTCCAAAGGAGAAGAGGCCTAACTAAAGAGAAACCGGAGTGCAAGAAAGCAGGGAGGGAGGAGGCAGCCAGGAGCTCTTACCTTAACTTGTCTCACCGTATATGCTAAGACGTCTGCCCTATTAAGTTCTTGGATAGGAGTTTGTAGCTTTTTGTCTCTGATATATAGGCCCAATTTTTACTAATTGTCTGTGTTTATCTTTTCTATCCAACCTTGGGAAGTTTGATATTTTTTTGAGGCATTTTTAAGCTTGTAAAAATAGAATTACATATATCCACATATACTGACTGATAGCTTATGAACATGTACAGACAAAAAAAAATAGGAACAAAACTTGTTTTATCAAATTTTTCAGTGCAAAACTGAACAATCTTACTAACAGA